CCGTTCAAAACACCTCGATGCAAACGGTGACCCGGGAAAGGAGCCCTGCTCTCGGCAACGGCACCGGCACCGGCCAGCCGAGGGCCCCCCCCACCCGACAGGAGACGGACGGGCGTGGAACACAGCGGGTGAGAAGTGAAAGCGCCGTCTCCCCCCGACCTTCGCCCTCTCACTGCGCTGTGGCCTCGGTGGTCCTGCCCCCGATGGGGGTGACGCTGCAGGAAGCACCCAGGCCCCTGACAGTCGGACCCACGAATCCCACTTCCCTGACTGCCGGGCAGGCCCAGACGCACGCCGGGCTGCTGACGTGACTGACAAAGGTCACTCCCAGCAAGGAAGTGGGGGACCTGGCTGCGGGGTGGGGGGGGGCTCGGTGGGTTGGAGCATCGTCCCATAAACCCAAAGGCCGTGGGTTCGATTCCCAGTCAGAGCCCAAGCCCAGGTTCCAGGTTTGGTCCCTGGTGAGGGTGTGTACACAGGAGGCAACCAATCAGAGTCCATCTGTCTGTCTGTCCCATTCTCTTCCTCACTCTCTGGAATCAATCAATCAATCTATATCCTTGCGTGAGGACTTCAAAGAAAAAGGAAGGAAGTGGGGGGGGCACAGGACTTTATTATCTGAACTTCAACAGCACCCACAGCCAGCAGGGAAAGGGAAAGGCACTCAGGGTGAATCCGGGGGTCTCACTGGGCAGCGCGAGCTCAGCCGCCTTCGGGACAAAGACAGCGGGAGGGGGCCACCCCCCTCCGAGGGCGCAGATGCCCTAGAGCAGTGTCGCTGTCAGTGGCCTTTCCGAGAGAAGGCATCCTCTGCGGGAAGAGAGACTGCGGCCCCTTCGGCACGGCGCCGGAAACACGCTTCCACACCTGTGTCTCAGGGTCCCCCTCTGCGCTCGGCCCCAAAACAGGGTTCACAGAACAGCCGCCCGCCACCACAGTCCAGGTCCCCAGCCCCTTCCCCACCACCGGTTTGCCTGAACAAACCGATGCCTTTGCAGACGACGCCGACCCAGGACGCAGAGCCCTCACCTTCGGGAGACGGCGGTTCTGGACGGCCGTCCAGGGACGTGTGAGGGCGGGCGAGGAACAGCCGTGTGGAGGGACGTGTCTGGCCCGCGAGCAGAAATTCTGGAATAACTGGAGATCAAATAGCCGCTCCTGACCACGTCATCTCGGAGGACCAGCAGAAGGTCAATTAAAGGCGCGGTGTCGCCGCCCTCGCCTCTCGGGGCAGCTTTCCCGCCTTTGATGGGTGTGGGGCGTGGCCCCGAGCCGGGCCGGCTTTCCCAAGGCTTCTCCGGAGCCGGGGTCCCACCTCAGCTGCTCGGATGGCACTGGCCTTCGTCCTGGGCGCCCACCTTGCACCCAGGGAGGGAGGTTGGCTGACCAGCTGGTGCAGGTAAGGCACGCGAACCGCAGCTGGACCTGCACGGGGCTCGTGGCCAAGGTGGGACCCGCACTCCCACTCGAGACCTGACCTCAGCGGCCCCCTTTTTCGTCCCGTAAGAACACCTGTTGTCAGGCAGGGCGTCCCACCCTCAGGGACAGGAGGGGGCCCCAGGGTGGGAAGGGAGCTGAGGCTCAGGGCCCGCACAACCACGCCAAGGCCAAGGGTGGGGGGATGGCGCAGGTGGGCTGGAAGGAAGAACGCCATAAGCCGTGACGTCGGAGACCTGATGGCGGGAGGCCATCTGCGTGGCCCCCACGGAGAAGGTGGGGACCGGACAGAAGTCCTTCCAGCGGTTCCGGGCCCTCAGGGGCCCTCTTGCAGCTGCCTGTGCGAGATGGGGCAGACACAGCCACCAGGCAGGACGGCAGGGGACGGTGGGGGGAGCCCCGTCCAGCACGAAGACGCCGTGGGGGACTTTCCCTGCGAGGCAGAGGGCCCTGGGGTTCGCCCGCACGCAGGTCTGGGGCGGCCGGGGGCAGCCTGGCGTCATGTAATTGGCCTGGGCGAGGTTTCCAGCTTCCATCAGCATTTCGGAGCCTCACGAGCTGCGCCCTCGCCCGGGCGGCTGCCTACCGCCAAGCCCATAATTGCGGCTTTGTCGCCTTGCTGCTCCCCAAGCCAAGCTTGCGGTGTGCGTGTGCTCGGCAGCGGCAGCGGCGTCCCGCCTGCGATCGCGGGAACCCCTGCTTCCAGGCCAGACAGGGGCTGCCCTGTGTGCGAGGGGGCCCCGGGGAGCCTCGCCGCCTTCCAGGACTCCCGTGGGTCTCGTCAGACGTTTAAAGACCAACCAACCAACACAGGATGCTCAGGGGAAGGAGCTTGAACTTGACTCGGGAAGCGGCAAGGGGCCCCCCGGAAGCATCTGAACAGGGAGGGGAGGCTCCAGGCAGGGAAGGCTGAGAATCGTCCTCACGATCCCCTCCCGAAACCTCCCCGGGAGGTCGCACCGTTTGTTCTCCCGGGTGAACTTCAGGGTTTACTCGGTGAGCTGCAAACCGACCTTCTCCCCTGAGCTGGGGTTTTATTTGAGGGACGACGTTGTATTTATACATAATTTGGGGATTAGTTAACGTCTTTTCGGCGGGGAGGCTTCTCGTTCAGACACAAGGTAGCTCTGTCTCCACTGTTAAATCTGATGTGTCCTTCCGTAACATTGTTACACGTTTTCTATACTTTTTTAAAGGATGTGTTTATTTATTTTTAGAGAGAGGGGGAGGGAGGGAGGAAGAGGGGGAGAGAAACGTCAGTGTGTGGTTGCCCCCCGCGCGCCCCCTACTGGGGGCCCAGGCATGTGCCCCGCCTGGGAACTGAACAGGTGACTTTGGATCACAGGCCACTGCTCCATCCACGGGGCCACACCAGCCAGGGCTGTTGTACTTTTCTTTATGTAGATCCTGCTTATTTCTTCTTTTTATTTTAATGTAAGAAAATATTTCATATTTTTAAATGTTTTATTTTTCAGTTACAGTTGACACACAATATTGTATTACTTTCAGGAGGGTGCTGCCCATTTCTTTATTCCTAAATTCTGCTTTGGATGGGATCTTACCATTTTGCCGTTATTTTTTTTTAAAAAACCATCACTGTGGACATGGGGATACTCCAGGGTTTGCTGATGTCACTGCAAACCCTTTCGGTGACCTCGGTCTGCGTGTCGGGTTAGAGTAGAGACAGGATCTGAGCAGTGACACGGTTTACCTGCCCCTCCGTGGCAGCCAGCGCCGGTTCCCAGTCCCGGCTGAGCTCCAGGACCCCCATTGTTGCAACGTCACCGGGGGCCCGGCCGGCAGTCTCTTCCTCAGCGGGACGCCCTGCCCCTAGGGAACCCACAGAGACACAGCAGCCCTGTGAGTGGGTGTTTGCACGGTCACACTGGGCAGGATGGGGCTCGCCCTTAGTCAAACCGCCTGCAGGGGGATCCATTGTTGGTCACCTGGCTCGCACCTGGGAGGAAGCCAGTGATGGGTCCCAGAACAAGAGGCTCTTTGGCCGGCAGCAGGCACACAGGCAGGGAGGCCCCGGGAGGGAGAGCACCCACGTGGGGAGTTGGGCCGCTACAGCCGACCGCTTCCTGCAGGGAGGGGCTCTGCAGACGGCACCCCAGCTCGGGTCCGGGCCCGCCCTGCCCGCCTGAAACTGGCTGTTGGAAACTTGAACAAGCTACACACGCTCTCCTCTGCCTCGGTTCCCTGCTCTGAAAGCAGGAGTGATGAGGGCACTTCGCTCACAGGGGTCATAAGGGTTAAGTGAGCGGTTATTGGTGGTCGTGTTTCCGCGAGTAAAACCCTGACTGAGGTGCTGGGTCCGCGTGCCGCACGTTCCTACGAAACAGGTCGAGGAGCACTCAGTGTTAAGTCTAATGTGTCCAGACGTCGTTTACGAAGCCACGTGGGCGTTAGCTGTCGTCCCAGAGCAGCGGGCCCCTCCCTCTCTGCCTTCCGGCCCCGCTTGTGGCCGGCCATCTCCCTCCGCAGCCCAGAACCCACAGCCCAGAACCCGCCGCCAGCCCTGTGCACCCTGGTGCGGACACACGACCGACGCCCCCACCATGGTCCGAGTTCCAAGTCACGGGGCTCCGCTAGGAGGGACCTCGGGCTCCTCTGGCACGAGAGGCCCGAACTCTGTGACACCGGCCCTCTCCCAGGCCCCCGGCCACTTCCTGGCCGAGCTACCATCTAGATTGGCTGCACTTGAACTTCTCCAGCCAGGCCGGCAGGCGTTGGGCAAGGGGGGCGCGTGAACTTCCCCTCTGGGGTGAAGGGACTCTCCTAGGGCATGGGTTTTTGCAAAAGAAGAAATTTTCTGCCCACAGTGAAGCAACTAAGACACTATCGAAAAGACCAAAATATTCAACGCTTTGAGCGCCAATATTCCATGATTATTTAAAATGCCCTACACTTAGAATAAAGTATAGTAGAAGCAACTCTGCCTTTTAGCGTCTTTATCTCTGGAGAGAGCAAAGGGGTGCAGACAGAGAGAGACAGACAGGAGGACTCAGAGGGAACGTTTATGTGGTGGGGGGGGGCCCCCACGCCAGCGGCTGCCCCCTGCTGGCCACCGCCGGAGTTTCCCAGGGGCCCAGAGCCAGGGGCCTCCTGCTGGCTTCCCAGCACACGAGGATGAACAGGGGCGTTAGCGCCGGTTTTGGCACGTTAATCCCCACGGACGTCGCTAATAACTACTATTAAATACAAGAACCAGTTTCGTCTTTTCTAAGAGGAAGCGGCCCAGGCGTTGTCCATGGGCAGAGGGACGCGTGAGCCCACTGTGGACCCTCCACCCCGGGGTGGGGGGCCGTTCGGGGCCCTGACCAAGGCAGGGAGCTCGGACACAACGTGGGAGAGGCCTCGACACACGGGCAGTGGGAAAGAGGAAGCGAAAGCAGCCAGACGCAGGAGGACCCAGGCGGCACGGTCCCACGCACATGGGCACCCAGGACCCTGGCGATCGGAGAGGCAGAGGGCGGGGCCAGGGGCGGGGTGAGGGCAGTGAGTGTTAGCAGGGTCCCGGGTTGGAAAGACGGACAGAACTACGGACGTGGCCGGTGGGGACGGTTGTGCAACCCCGTGAACGTCCTTAATGCCACGAAGTGCGCGTTTATTCAAAAGAGGGCAAGATGGCCAACTTTGTTATGTGCATTTTACCACAATTAAAAAAAAAAAACTTGACTCTTTCGTTATGCAAGACCACAGAAGGAGGAAGAGGCAAGCCACGCCGTTTTCCCCAGAAAACAGAAGTGAGGCGGCGGGAGCTCCCACAGTCCCCGCGTGAAACCGGCCCCACGACGGGGTGGGAGGATCGAGGCGGGGAGAAATCTCCAGAGAATCCGGCCGGCCCAGAGCGCAGCTCCGCTCAGACCCGGCTCCCTGCTGTGCCGGAGACTCCCAGGAGCAGCCCCCTGGAGCCGGCTCGGCCTCCTCCGGGACTTCTCGGAGACCCTCGGGAAAACCGGCACCGGGAGGCTGGCGAGAGGGTGGCCCCCGCGGGCAGTGGCCGAGGTCACGTTTTAGAAAAGAGGGAAGGACAGGCGGGCGGGCATCGGGCGCACACGGCGCGCACACAGGACGGACATCTGAGTCACTCCACGGTGAACTCCCATCAGAAAAGCAGCACCCATCGGGAAAATGTGCGGTAGCCAGATTCACGGAGCCGCGAAGTAGAATGGCGGGGGCAGGGCGGGGGCAGGGCGGGGGCTCAGGGCCGGGACTGGAGACCTGCTGTTCGCTGGGGACGGAGTTCCGATGGGCGAAGATGGAGCCGTTCTCGGGGTGGACAATGGCGGCCGCACAACAGTGGGGACGCACCAATGTGCGCCCGGAAACAGCCACATGGCAGCCTTCACCTTGTGTCTGTTTTACCACGATCTGGAAATGAGTGATTTTAAAGTCTTGCATCAGAAGGAAGTGGCCAGGTTAACCCTGGGATGCCGACTTCCCGGCACCCCGCCCCGCTGTGAAGGTGGCACTTAAACGAGGGCACGAGAGAACGCAGGCGCTGAGGACGATGCTGAGTGTATGTGAGTATTCGTCCCCCCGCCCCGCCTCCCGCCCGCCCCAACAGTACTGACAGCCAGGGTTCTAAGGGGACCCACCAGAACAGAGCCGTGCTTGGCTTCCCGTCACAGCGAGGTGACAGAAAAAGCCATTTTTCTTTCTGTTCTCCAGCATTTTCTCGACAAGCGTGCACGACTTTCACAGAGGGAAATAACGCATAGCCCGGTCCCCCTCCCCCCATGTATTTGACCAGAAAGGGAGACGGAGCAGAGGACTGTGCCCTCTGTGCGGTGCACCCCCGGAGGCTTGGAAAGCTGGCCGAGGGGGTGCAGCTGGGCGGGCGACCCCTGCGAGCCATGCCCGACTTCTGCAGGCCGGGGGGTGTCCTCGGCAGCCTGGGGGAGCCCGTGGCCAGTCTCAGAACAGTGTGGTTAAGCGCGAAGGACAAAGTATAGAAGGTTACAAAGGAAATGGGTCATTCTGAAATACAGGATCAAAATACATTTTACACCGTGATACGCGTATCAGTCAGAGCAGGAAAAAAAGACGCTGCACCGGTTACAGTTAACGGAAGTAGCTGACTACGGGGGCCCACTAAACAGGGGCTGGACGACTGAGAAGGTGATGGGGACTCGGGGACTCAGAGACTGGGGGGGGCAAGTTCAGGAACAGCTAGGGCTGGGCTGTCGTGCCCCTGGCAGGGCGGGGCTGGGCGGGGCTGGGCGTTCAGAAGCTCTGACAGGCTCCGCGATGCCGGTGGTTTCTGAGCAAGTGGAAAGCGCTAGAAACAGAAGCGGCAGCAGCTGCCCGGGGTGCAGAGCCTGGCTGGGTCACAGCGCCCAGAAACAGGAAGCAGGCAGGGAGGGGCAGGCTCCTTCCTTGGCGGAGCCCAGGCGAGGGGCGGTGTGCCCGGCCCAGCCGGCACCTCGGGGCCGCTCAGAAGGGAGGGTCCCGAGAGGCACCGGCTCACAGCCAGCGCACGCATGGGTCTCTTTGCCCGCATTAGCAACACCGACAGTGGCATCCCCAGCGGTCAGCAACCACTGCAAAGTGCCGTGAGAGTTCCCGGGATTCCCGTCGGTGACAGAGTGACACACACTGACACCATGGCAGTGTTTGGCCCACATTCCTGACTGGTGATAATGCTGGTTTTTTTTTTTTTTTCTGTCCAAGTTCAGGGAGCTCTTGAGATGTACCCAAAGCCCTGCCTCTGCCCACACCTCCCATCTAACCGACACGGGAGGCCCTGCTGCGTTTCACGGGCCGTGTCGGACCCACTGTGACACCTCGGAAAACAGGGAGCACGCACCGCTGCCCTCACACCCGCCCCACACTCGTGGTGTGTGTGTGGGGGGGGCCTGGGGGCCATACTCGGACCCCAGGGTGGCGGTGAGAGCTCCCTGCAGCCTGACAGCCCCACCACCGTGACTGTGACCTGCGTGTCCCCGGGCACCAGGGCTGCATTCCCAGTCCTGACCTCTCCGAGCCTCAGCCCACTGGCCGGCCGGGCTTCTCTGCCCGGAACCCCCAAAGGCGTCTCCGACCTCACGTGTCCAGACAGACCCCTGCCCCCCCGGAGTCTTCCTCCTGCACGGCCCCTGAGGCTTATTCCACGTCTGCGCCTCTGCTCTGCCGCCTGTCGGGGACCGTCCTGGTGAGGACCTGGGGGGGGGCTTTCCAAGGACTCAGTGAGATGACCCTGCCCTGACTGCGGCCAGCGGCCAGTGCCCGGCCCTCGTCTCAGCCGGTGTCCCTCCGCCCCTCACCTTCGGCGCAGCATCCACTCGCCGTCCTCTCTTCGTGCCCGCCCGGCGCGCCCCCAGCCGCCGCCTCCTGTCAGGCCTCACGGCTGCTCGGGAGGACGGGATGCTCCCCACGGGGCCGCCCCCCCTGTTGCTGCTGGTGTGGTCTCTCTGACTCACTCACGCACTCACACACTCTTTCTGTCCACAGACACGGGTTGGGGCTGCCCCCTGCCCCCAGCCGAGGGCACCACGCACGAGGGGCGCGCAGACCTTCCCGAGCGAGGCCGGTGTGACGTGCCTGCACAGCGAGTAATTGATTGTAACTGTCCCCGCGGGGCGCCCGGCGAGGGGAGCGCAGACAGGAAACACAGCTCTGTGCCTCCTGCGGACGGGAGGAGTGGCAGGGGGGGAGAAGGGAGGCCTCCGTGCGAACCCCTCAAGACGTCCCTCCGGGTTGGGGGGCAGAGGGTCCCCCGGAGTGCCGACCTGCTCTTCCACACCAGGCCCCCGCTTCCCGCCACCAGCCACCCCCCCACCCCCCCTCCCGCAGCTGATTCCCGCGGGGGGGGCTGCAGAGCCCATTGCGCCGCCTGGTGGTGACTTTGGGACTTTCAGAGTGAATTCCCCGTCTGTTTCACTCAAACTTAGAAACGACTATCGGTGAAACACTTAATCAGCGGAAGAACTTGGTGAACACCTGGTCTCTGTCCCAGTTTCACTTAATGCGGAAACAAGACCGCTCGTCTCCCGGGGTGAACACGCACGCAACAGTTACTCCTTAACCAGGCGAATTCGAATTCTCAGCGTTCCATCAAGGGAGGAAAGCGGCAACTGTTCACTGGAGACACCGGCAGTCAGCCCTGTGGCTTCTCGTGGCTTCTCCGCAGCTGTACTGGCGACACGAGGCGAATCCCAGGGAGCGGTTCTGCTTTGAGCATCACGCTGCAGGAGACGCTTACAAACACATACCATCCATTTTTGGATATTGGTGCGATGTTATTTCAACATATGACAAAGTGGTTATTCTCTTAATAAACCAACGGTGAAACAAACTAAACTCAGGTCAGCGTTTTCTAAGGGCAAGATAAATTTTGTGCTCAGGGGGTGCAGAGAACTCTCTGCGCTCTACTTTGAACAAGCAGTATGGGCATAAGGGTTAGCCAAGAACGTCTGAGTCTTTTATACACACTCAGTTTTATTTTCAAGTATTAAGGTCTCCGTGAACACAGAAGTCTGACTCCCTTGCACACGAATCACACTTCCCAGCCCTGTTTCCAGAAGCTCTGGGGGGCCGTCTGCTGGCTCTGAAAGTAACGAACAGAACCAGGAGCGGAGTGCGCTGGCCCGTCCTCCATGCAGGGGTCCCCCAGGGACCTCGGGCCCCGAGACCGAGGTGGCTTGCTGGGCGCCTCCGTGGGATCCCGAGACCCGGGAGGACTTCCACAGCGCCATTCGTCTCCCTTAGTGAAGGGAGCCAAGGTGGAGGGAGCCAGAGAGCAGGGGACACCGTGGAAGGGAGCGGTCGGCAGGGACCGGCAGGGACCGGCAGGGACCGGCAGCCGGGGACCAGGAACGCAGGGATGGTGCTGGGAAGCCAGGTGGGGGCGCTGGTCACCAGTCTTGGGTCACCTGGTTAGGTCACCTCTAAGTGGATGCCACACAATGGAAGGCGGAGTGACAACGAGGCCGTCTGAACAGCTCTGCCTCCTGTGGCCCCTGCCACAGCGTGACCCAGGGCTGGCCCCCGCCTGCCCCGCCCCTCCCCTGCCCGTGCCCCCTCTCGGGGACCCCCCCCCCACCCCGTCTGCAGGAGGAGGTAAAAGTCCGGGTGCTGAGAAGCGGGCCGGGAAGAACAAGGCACCAAGCAGCCGGGACTGCCGATGCGTGACCCGCCGCTCCCGGGATTGCCCCGCCCCCGCGGGACCCGCAGTGCACGCTTGGGGACGGAGGGGCAGGCAATCCTGCGCCAGGCTCCGCCCCCAGCGCCCGGCCTGGGCTCTCTCATTTTTCAAGTAAGGACACTGAGGCACCAGATGGCAAAACAACCTGCCCCGAGGTGTGGCGACCTCGGCGGTGAGGCTGGGACCTGGGGACCCTCCGCGGGACACTGCGGGGTCCTGGGCATTTTGAACCGAAGGCAGTGGGGGTGAGGGGTCCCTGGGGCCGGACTGCGTTACCGTGGAAACTGCTGGCATTTCCACCCAGACTGTCAGAGCCGGCCCTGCAGATGGACCCTGCAAGGGAGGCCCTGCCCCAAGGGGCTGGTGCTGACCGCAGTCTGAGCGCCTTCCGCACAGCGGGGAGAGGCCCCAGGCTCCGCACAGGGCCCCGCCACCTGCCCGGGCTGCGGGGCTCCGAGAGCCAGGCCCGTGCAGCTGGAGAGCATCCGACACCCGCTCTGACACCCGCTCCGCAAACACACCGAGACGCCCTGACACAGCCTCCAACCTTCAGGTGGGTCACATTCGCAGAGAGCGTGCCCTTGGTCTGCTGTTGCGGGAGCTTTGGGGAGCTCCGGGGCCTGCGATGCGTTACTCAGAACAACACCCCGACTTTAAATGTTGTGCTGGTCACAGAGAAAGATATTCCGGCGACATCTGGGAGCCCCTCACCCTTCTGAGAAGCGTGGGTCCCAGCCCTGGCCTGCGAGAAGAGCCTGGGCCCCTCTCTGTGGAAGCTCACATGTTCCTTCATTGTACGTTTTGTTCAAAATCCCAGGCTATGAAAAAAGTTGTTTTAAGATATTGAAACATCAGGAAAACAATTTTACTCCAGTAAGTAAGAAAATCAGTGGATTTTTCTTTTTCTTTTTTTTTTAAAGACTGAACATTTTTTTTTTAAAGATTTTATTTATTTATTTTTAGAGAGGGAAGGGAGGGAGGTGGAGAGAGAGAGAGAGAAACATCAATGTGCGGTTGCTGGGGGTCATGGCCTGCAACCCAGGCATGTGCCTTGACTGGGAACCGAACCTGCGATGCTTTGGTTTGCAGCCCGCACTCTATCCACTGAGCTATACCGGCCAGGGCTTGGATTTTTCTTTTTAAGAGAGAAATTCCTATTATGTTTCACCTCAACACTAACACGAAACTCTCCGACGTTAGTGTTGCCCGCTTCAAGAAGCAGAAGCCAGCAGCTTATTTCTCAGTAAGAGATGCCGCTCCGTTTACCAGCGAGGAAGGAGCTGATGTAAATGCTTCTCGAATCCCTGAAACAGTAACTACTCCTTATCACGCGTGGGCACCTTGAACGCCAGAGTCGGCGCGGCGCCCTGGGCGGACGACGGGCCTGAAGTCACTCCCTGGCTTCCAGAGCAAACCCCACACGCGACTCTGCCAGTGCCAACCGGGGCTGTCGGGAAACCCTGCAACTTGGCAGGAGGCCGAGTCACGGAGCCAGGGTGTCCAGCGGGCCCCGAGGTCGTCTGCGCAGAGGCTCACGGCCCCCCGGGCCCCGAGATCCCACCCCCACGGCAGCCACGGTGCTCGCATGGTCCCCACGGACGGAGTACTGACTGGGCTGCCACTGGGGAAGGACATTTGCTCCAAATTTTAAAATTCAAACACAAAATGTCAAAGGAGGCAGCAAAACCACACTTCCTGAGCCCAGACGCTCACACCTGCAAGAGGAAGTCCATTTCTGAGCAGCGCTGCTTTTCTGGAAAGTTCCTTTTCATGCGGCGTAAAGCCCTCCCTCCCTGGAGCTGTGGCCTTGATGCGGAACACCGCTTGCTTCTTCCGGAGGTGGCGTCCGAGCCTCAGGACACTGGGCCCCTGCCCCGCCCCTGCACCCTGGACGGCGGCCCCTGCGCCCTGGACGGCGGCCCCTGCCGGAGGGCCGCCTGGGAGCGTGTCCAACCCTGGCGCCCGGGTTCGGGCATCCACGGCCGTCTCCGCCGCTTCCCAGCCAGTGGCCTCCGCGTCCGCTGGCTCCTCCCCGACCACCTGCGCCCCAGACACTGTTGCCTGGTGCGAGGCCGGCACTCAGAGGGGGCCAGGCAGGGTTTCCCCGAGGGCTTGGCTCCCAGAGCAGCCCTCACGTCTCGAAGCCACCTTGTCGTGACGGAGGCCAAGGTGTCCAGCAGGGGGTCCCCGAGGTGCCGCCCGAAGCAGCAAGCAGGCTGGAGACCAAGGTGAGGAACAAGTGCACCCGCCCCTGGAAGTCAAGACCGGAACAAACGGCAGCCATGGGGCGGGAGCCGGGGGCAGCTGGCCCGCAGGTACCGGTGTGGACGGACCCACGTGGCGGGGAGGGGGGGGGGGAAGCCACGGGCCTCCGCCGCGAGCTTGGCACCGACCTGGGCCCCGCTCCCAGCCCACTCTAGCGGTGGTCCACGCCATCCCTCCAACCTCCACGACGTCACTGCAGCCACTGGGGCTGAGGCCACCGGGGACCCCCGTCCCCACGGTCCCAGCGACATTCTCTGCTTACATCCTTTTGGGTCTTCCGCTGCTGCGACCCTGCTGACCTCCCTGCCCGGCCTGGGACTCCCCCGCCCTCGGCAGCACTGCCAGAGTGAGCATGAACTCGTCCCTCGTTCCACCACCCCCCACCCCTTCCCTCACCCACCCGCGCCCCAGGCCCCACAGGGGGCACCAGGACATTGCAGGGTCTCCCCGAGTCCCGTCGTCACAGGGAGACTGGCAGGCGGGCCCGTTCCTTGTCCCGCAGAAGGGCCGCGATCTTTATCGTTTCTTAAAGCCACCAATTCTCGTCATTTCTGTTAAACCCGTTTCTGCGTTGATGTTAACCAGTGCACGTTAACCCAGAGAGAAATAGGTTTCCCTATAAATAGCCAGACTGCGAACGGAAGCGTAAGCTGCCCCAGTGGTGAGGTGCTACTAATGGGCTTTGCTGCGGAACAAGCAGGTATTTCAGGTCAGCTCGGGACGAGCCGCCGGGCGCCTTCCAGGGCCAGGCGCCCCGGGGAGCACACGCGAGCAGGAGTCGCACCCAGGAGAAGGGCTCGGGGCGCCTGCCGCGGGCCGCCCGTCGCACCTGAAGGGTGAGTCCACGCCCCCCGAGGCCTGGAACGTCCCCGGCAAGGAGTCCCCTCCACCCCCACCGGCCGAGGGACCCAACTGGGAAGGGGGCCCTGCAGCTGCGACCCGGCCGAGGCGAGGCCACCCGGGACCGGGAGGGGCTGCCCTCTGAGGGCCGGTGTCCTGGTGGGAGGACAGGAACGTGGCAGAGACACGGGGGATGCCACGTGAAGACGCCAGAGGTCTTGGGCGACCCCCTGGGCGCGGAGAGAGGCCGGGAACGGCCTCCCCGGCTCCTCCCGAAGGAGCCGGCCCTGGGGGCCCCTGGGGGCCCCTGCACTTCGGGCGTCCAGCCCCCAGAGCGGGGAGAGAACACAGGTCTGCTCTGAGGCCACCTGGCCGCTGGAGACTCACTCCGGCAGCCCCGGAGCCCAGCGCAAACCTGCCGTCCCAGGTCGGCCCTCGGTACACTGTCTTCAGCCAGAGTTTCCACTGTGTGCAAGGGACCCCGGTGACTCCTCTCCTGGGGACGTACAGTACAGGGGGCTGGGCTGGGACGGCCCGGCCCCGCAGGTGTGGGTGTCGGACCGAGGACACGGAGAAACGCCGCCACCTGTCTTTCTGGAGCTGTCCCCGGGCACGGCGCACGGGCCTGTGCTCGCCACTGTGGAGTCAGTTGCCCCTGGGACCCAGCCTTCCTGCTGGAGGGAACCTGCCCGTGAACTCGGACGTCTCCACGACAAGGTGTTGGCTTCCCTCTAAGTTCCACCGGTGGTGACGGGCCACGGGGACCTTCGCTCCCCTGCCTCTGCCGGAGGGGCCGGCGGGGAGGGCAGGGCCGGCCGGAGGGCCACAGCCATGCATGCTCCCCCCAGCCGCAGGCCCCGGGCGGGTTTGCGCATAAACACACGTTTTCAGTCCCTGAGCTGCACCCAGGGCCCCGAGCCGCCCAGACTGAGTGACCCCCCCAAGAGGGCGGCCCCCTGGGGCCGCTTTTCGGAGGAGCGACTCCCATCGTGAAATAAAAGCTAACGTTTAAGAGTGTTCTGCGTGTGCCTGCCCCGACAC